ATAATTCAACAAAACCTTTAACGAAACACTTTATGCCTCTTAGAACTAATTTGCATGCAAAAATTTTAAGTCAACATCTTATCGCTGAAAGAACAAAATAATATAGTAATCAAAACAGCAAACAAATGTATTGCCGCGAAAATCAAACAAATTAAATTACGCCAAAAATGCGACTGAAAAAAAACGCTCAGCTCGCTATGCCGCCCACTCGACACCGGACCTACAACATTTCTCGCTCACAGTAGGAGAACTTCTTCATGATACTGTTCAACACGATCAGCTGGACCTAAAGTTATCTAACTTTATGGCAACACCTCTGAAATTCAATTGTGGTTACATCGCATTTTTACTGCTGCTGCTTTTACAACTGCTACACATACTGCTACCTAATGTACAAAACCTCCATGCCCCCTTCAGAGCAACTGTCTTCACGATGAACTGCCTCTCAGCACTCTCCACTGTAAGTTAAAAAATACTCAAACAATAAGCAGAAAGAAGCTCGTCTTGCCAATAAATTTAAATGAGTTTTACAAGGAACCGCAACAGATTAAAGCAAGTGAAATGAACATTACACTCAGTTACGATGTTACAGAATAACGTTTGCTAACCAGTAACTTCATAGTTATCAATATTAAGTTATTACCAAGCTTTTGACAGAAGACAACTTACTAACAGAGCGAAGTAACCTGCCGTGCATCTGAAACGTAAAACCAATAACCTTGTGCGCGACGGACGAATTACTTCTGTTGCAATGACGGGCGGGAAAAAAAGGAGCTGTGATATGCATTTTACAATCCACCTTCTCCCATCTTGCAAAAAGTTTTATGTAACAGTGAAAGTGTGGCATTGGACATAAACCCCAGCCTGTTCCCAAGTTTCTTCAAAGAATACACCGACGTCCTTTTCCTATGCGTTTTAAAGGAGATGATGAAAAATCGCCCACCGCTTAAACGGCTTAATTGAAGTGAATGCCCCATTTGACCTACGGAAGAATCAGGAAGACAAAAACCAGAGGCGTGCCAGCTCGGGGCGTCAATATTTCAGTGTCCCTCAGATTGCAACGCAACCAAGAAGAAACTATGTCATCAAAGCTGATTCGCCCAAGGCGCACGACCAGAAAAAAACCGCCCAATCTTGGAGACTTATTGGCTGCTTGACAGAGTGATGAACACTATAAAAGGGACCATAATTTGTGCAACGATATATTAGACGACGAAAGGTGCACTGACTGTTTCTGCCAAAACAAACTCTTTCGTTATGAAACAGTTGCGTGTCACATGTGGAAAGAGAACATTATTCCAGTGTTAGACTTCTTGACGTTTTCATAATTAACTCTAGTAACAGTTATAAGCCTGAAGTTACCGCAAATCAATATCTGAATTTTAATTCCCACAAGCATATAAAAAATATGAGCAAAACAGGCAGAACCTAACAGAGCTGTGAAAGTCCGCAATGAAGAATTTTCAACAAAATTGATAAAACGATTTTTCCTATGCTACAACAAGAACTGCACCATTAAAATCGTTGATGACTTCATACACAGGAAAACAATAACTGTAAATCAAGTTTCATCATCAGCTATGTCAAAAACAATAGTTGTAAAAACGCGTTTAATTCTCGCGTATTGCAACAGCCTTAGTGAAATATTACAAAGAATATTAATCAATAAATATAACAAAAATTTGAATGAACTCAATTCCTCGTTAATTAATTGTGCGAATAAAAGTTTCTTAAGCTGGGCTTACCAATTACTGAGTTAGCGCAGGAATATTACACAGGAGAAACGGAGAACGCTGTCACATAAAGAACACATTGGAATATTGGACGTTCGTCGACGCATGTCAACGGCAAAATCATAAATGACGCCTTCCGGAAGGTAATAAAGCCTTACCCATACGGAAATTTGAAAAAAAACAGGAACAACTAAGCGTGGTGGCGCAATCAGTTAGTACTGACTTTGTACTTTAGAGATGCTGAGTTGAAACCCTATGCGTGGCGTAAATTTCTCTTTTTAATCGGCTAATTTCTTTCGGCAAGGAATTTTCCCCATTGTGCCTCAGTGCAGCTAGCCGAGAAACGGGTAGCAAGTCGATAACCTGTGATCAGAGGAGCAGCATG